GGTTGTCAGTTTATGACAGTATGAATCGGTCTTTAAAATGATGCATTTGTGCATTCGCATGAGCGTTTGAATGTCTTTGGGGGTACGGGGGGACTTCCCGTTCCTGTATTCAGACCTAATCGATGATCACCCTTAGCAAAAGGCTGGTAGCTTCATTTTCCTCCAGTGGCAATGCTGATTTAAAAGGAAAAAAAAAAAATAAAATAAAATATCCTGTACCTTCAGTTGTGTCAGTGCCATTCTGAAGGCCTGAACTGAAAATGGATTTAAAAACCTCAGTGGTTTTTTTTTTTGTTTTTTTTTTTTTTCTAAACTAATATGGAGCGGGGGCCATGCACACGGGTGTATTGGTCCCAGTACAGGCGAAAGGTGGGATATTTCACCTTCCCCTGCAAGAAATAGAGTTTTAATAACCCAAATTGAAAGCCATTCTTTTTGAGTGGGAATTTTTGTGGCAGGAGAGCTGAAGCTTTATGCCAAAGCCAGGGTTTCTTGCCCTTACCTCAGTTTGAGCTGCGTGGCCTCCACAATGAAAATCTTTTTGGAGTGATGGGAAATGAAGAGGTGTTCTCATGGTGGGCTTGGTTCTGTCCACAGGCCTTTGCAGCTCCAAGGCAGCCCGATCGACTGCTGCTCGATGATCTCACTGAGATCCCATCAGAAAGCCGTTGGGAAGTGTAATCAACTGTAATTATTAAGCTAAAGCTTATCCCACTTGTCTTCTGGTGAAAGATGGCCTTTGCACCCCACTTTGTGACACTGCTGAGTTGTCCCGCAGGAGTCAGAGGGCTGTCACAAATCCTCAGTGTGGAAAAATAGCTTGAATGAGGTGTTCTAACAACTTTTAAAGCTGCTCTATGGGGGGGTGGGGAAGCCACAGCTTGATCTTTCTCCCTTCAACCCTCTTCCACCATAACGTGCTCTCAAGAGAGCTATGGATTTGATGGGTGGACTGTTTGGTGGATAAGGAACTGGCTGGATGGTTGCATCCAGAGGGTAGTGGTCAATGGCTCGATGTCCGGATGGAGGCTGGTGACGAGTGGTGTCCCTCAAGGGTCTGTACTGGGACCGGTGCTGTTTAATGTTTTCATCAATGACTTAGTGAGATCAAGTGCACCCTTGGCAAGTTTGCGGATGACACCAAGATGAGTGGTGCAGTTGACACACCAGAAAGACGGGATGGCAGCCAGAGAGACCTGGAGAGGTGGGCCTATGTGAACCTCATGAGGTTCAACAAGGCCAAGTGCAAGGTCGTGCACCTGGGTCGGGGTAACCCCCAGTATCCATACAGGCTGGGGGAAGAAAGGATCGAGAGCAGCCCTGCCGAGAGGGGCTTGGGGGTGCTGGTGGATGAAAAGGT